ATTTTACTTTTAACAGGCTGGTTTGTCTTGATCATATTATCTCAAAACTTCCACTAGGAATTGTATTGCCTCTTAAAATAGTAGCATATGTTGTTGGTAGGGACGAAGGACAGTTTAGATGTATTGCCACCATCCTAGCTACTCCAATGTCAGAAAATATACATTCTAAGTAAAAAATTGAGCTTTCTATGCAAACTACTTAAAAATACCTAAATAAAAACTATACTTGCTATGAACATAGCAATTGCAGCTTCCAAATAAATGACAGCCTCCTCTTCTGATCTGATCCCATCCCTAAACTCTCTTGTAAGAAATTCTGGAGTCATCACTTACAGAACTCTGCCATATTTTCACTTTCCTGTCACCCCTTAGAAGGGGGCTTTGGATGCTGGTGCAAGTTCTGACTTTGACATATGGGGCCCTAGTTGTTGTTGTTAATTCTTCACTTCAGTGGATTTTGACCATACTCCTGGGAGCCCACTTTATCCTGGCTGTCAGCTCCCACCTAGTAGCCAGACTGAGCAGAGCCTGGGGAGTCTGGAGGTGAGGACTGCACAGTGGGAATGCATCTCCCAGAAAGACAATGCACATACCCAAACAAGATCTAAGGAGCAGATTCGGTTGGTCAGAGATGAGTCTGAGGCCAGGGAACCCTCTGTAAACCAGGCTGAAAGTCAAAGATAGATTTATATTTGGATGATAGGCTTGGGGTGGGGTGATGGGTAGCCAGCCGAGAAGACAGTTTCAGGAAACAGGCTAATTAGATTCAGTGTTTGGATGAGTCTGATTTAAAAAGACAGCTTTGAAAAGTGATATCAAGTTGTATTTTCTAGAGGGTCAGACTTACTGCAGCCAAACAAGCAGATTGTGTCAGAGCATCTTTTATCCACGTTAATCCACTGGTGGCTCACTGCAGTCCTGTTTCTCAGTGGAGGAGAACTATGTGTCCCCTGACATTTACACTTGAAGAGATAAGAGTTTCTCTTTGGGGCAGATTCACTGTGGACAGTCAAGGCAGTCATCAGATGCTGATAGTGGCATCAGCTAGCTTCCAGAGGCATAATTACCACTTTGCTGGAAAGCCCCTTTCACTCTGAGAAAGTATAAAACAACTTTCAGCCAGGTTGACTACACAGTGTTTAGTTTCATAGACTTGTTTCAGCTGTTAAAGGACCTGTTACTCTAAATGTCTTATTTGCCACCATTGGTTGCCCAACCCCTCTCCAGTGTATTTTGATGTCATGGAACCAGAATCCTAGGGAAGTGATTTAAACTATGGTGAAAATCTGTAGCTAAATTAATTGTGAGTCAGTTTCAGATTAGGGAGACAGTTGGCCTTGGTCTGGTTGAATTCTCACAGCCTTGTCGTCCTCCTTTTCTGAATTACATGTTTTGCTTCATATCCTGGGAAATCATGATGAAATGATATTGGTGGACTTCAGTATTTGGCAGTAGGAGATGGTGGGTGAGGACTGAGTGGTAAATAGCTCCCACTCCTGTAGGCTAAAATTTCTTGAAGTGTTAGAAGTGTCCAATAAACCCAGAAACTGTAAAATCTTATTATATTATAAAGATGTTCTATTATAAAGATAAAAATTATGAAACATTTTAAACTAGGCATTTTGGATGGGCCAAAAAAAACCCAGAAATTGCAGAGACCTACCAAAGATCTTTTGTCTAAAGATATTTTTAAAAATGCAAAAGTTTAGGATAATTTTAAAGTCTTTAAATTTTTTAAAAAATTACAGTCACTTTTCAAATTCAGAAAGTAGAAGCGTAATCAGACTATTTTCAACATCTCTGTAATTTAGCTCATTCTATCATCATAAACACCAGCGAAGCAGTTAAACAAGAACTTTGGATGGTAAAAGCTAACCTTAGTTATTTTCTATAATTATGCTATTTTATATAGGTTTTTTTTTACTATGAAAAAAGGTGAAAGTTTGACTAGGAAAGATAAATATTCAAATTTGAATTTAAAAATTCAGATATATTAAAGTTGATTTTATTTTAGATGCTAAATAGGAGATGGCTACTTCGTTATTGTGAAGAGGCTATCACGTATGAATAGTCCTCTCAGATTCATCCAGATCCATCCAGACCCACCCAGAAGGCTCGGTGTGTGTAGTGGTGGGTGTTTTCTCCCTCACAAACAGCACCCTGATGGAGGTGTCTGACTCTGCCACTACGATGGCCAATGTGAATGTTTGCTTCAGAATTTAAGCCGGAGGCTCTGGAAACTGCTATAAATACTCTAAAAATAATAATATTGTGAGTATTTATATATATATCATTTCTTGTAAGTATGTTTTTCATTTTTATCCTACGTATACTAGAAAAATACCTTACAATTTGGGTAATTGTGGTAATTGGAAAAAGCTGTTGAGATGCGAGGTTTCTAAAATCAATAAGAGCAAAGTGGATGTGATCATTGTTCATGGCATACTTGACTTGAAATATCTAGTTTTAATGTTATATTATCATTTCATATGTTTAAGTGGTTTTAATGTTGTCACTAAAATGTGACCGAATTAATACATTCATGCAAAGTATAAAAATGCACTGAGTGCCACAAATTCTCCTGCTGCTATATTTATTTATAGCAATGTACATTGCTTAATGTGTGCATTTATTTAAAAAGCATTTTTGTAAATATTTGTGACTTGCATTTCTCTTTGAGGATAGCCACAATCTTATACTACAATTCAATATGAGAGATCATCAAAGCAATTAACTTAGAAGTACTTCACCATTTACCAAAGGATTTAAACTATTTCTGAAAATTATGAGTAAAATGGCTCATAGATTGTCTCAGGTCAGGTTCTGTAAAAGCAAATCTGAGGCAGGGATTGCGAGAACAAGTGATTTATAGGACAGTGTTCTCAGGAGAAGGATGATGAGAGAAACAGGATGGAGGAGGGGAAATGTCTGCGCAGAAGACCTCACTAGAAACAGACTACAGTTTGCTCTCCCAGTGAAAGGCTGGAGCGCGAATGGCATCAGAGCTGGTTTCATCTTGAGGCAGGTGGGCTGGCCTTCTGTACCCCCATGTCAGCCAATCATTGGCTGGTGTTGGCTCTCAAAAGTGGGTGGGAAAGTAGCCTCCTGCGTGAGGCAGGTCCCATTTGGCCCAGGACAATTCTCTGGAGGAGGGAAGTGTATCTCTGTATTATCAGCCTCTTGATGACGGCAATTCTAGCTCATCAATGTAATCTAGCATGGCACCAACAGCATCCTTTAGATGACAATTTAAAGGAATAGAGAACTTATTGGACCTAGATTCTGTCACTTCCTCCTCCCCAGCACATAACACCCCAACACATTTGTATTTGTAATCAAATAAAGATGGAAATTCAAACCATATTCAAGTCTATTTGATTACAGAATGTTTAAAAGCATTACTGAGGACATGGACTTTGGGTCTATTTTTTTTTTTGCAGGGGGGAGAGTTGCTTGCTGTGTAGTAATAGAGCATTTCTGTGGCTAACTCTGTTGTTAAAATGCATTTATGTTATCATGAATGAACAAGTTCCTTGAGGGAAGGACCTGAGATCCTGTCCATGAAGACTTGAGGGTGTTTTAAAATCCAAGTACATTCAGGCAAGCCTTTCTCTAGGCTTAAGAGTCCTATTTGAAATGCTTTATTTGCAGAAGCCTTTGGCTGTCTCTACATACATAACTGATTTAGACAGAACCCAAACACGCAGTGTGTTCAATGAATGAACTCATCTCAAATTCTTTCTCTGCGCTCTATCATTATGTCACACGGAAGAACTGTAGGGTTTGCTTCTTCCTGATGGAACACTTCCAGCCCACTTTTTCTTCCTATTATAGAGCTGTTGAATCAGGTTATCTTCTTTGAAAAAGAATTTTTTTTCTTTCTTGCTCCTTATCAGAATAATGAGATACTTTACAGAAACTGGGTAACTTGGATGACGACAGTACAAGTCCCATTAGTATCATTGGTTTACAGAGGTTTTTATTATTTTAAATTGTCAAATACTTTTCAAGGGCATAGAAGACTTTGTAAAAAAAATTCTTTAAATTATAGAATTAACTTTAAACAAGACCATTGACATGGCAGAAATAAACAATAGCAAGTCTGCATTTTAGACCAAAGAAATATTTGTTGCTAATAATATCCCCTCTGATTGCATCTGGATCTGATTATCCCAACAGGAATAATAATATGCAAATAAACTCAGAATAATAAAGAGACATTAATTCAGCCTAGCGTTCAAGCTGACATTGCAACTTTTTCACTCTGTATAGGGCTTTGCTAGTAGTTTGTACAGAAGACAAACCAGGGCAGTGCCTAGGAGTGTTCTGAACTAAAAAGGCATTTTGGAGCATGGTGGACATGTTATTGGGAAGGGATCCTATTTACAAATGACTTCGTTAGTGATCTGAAATTGAATGTCATTGGTTATCTTTCTACTATTACTATGTAGTCTTATCCCCACAAATCAAGAAGTTTAGAAGGGAAAGTAAAAGATAATTTTAGACACTTTAAAAGTCAAACCTTAAATCAGTGCCTTCCTCAGGCCTTCATTTCTTTTGTGTACTTGTTCATTTTACTATCTGCATTTGTATTTTCCTCCTGTCCAGAAATAGGAACTTTGTTGAATTAGCAAAATTCCTTTTTAATCTGTATGCTTAATAATTTATTTCCCAATCTCTGTTTATTTCATTCATTGGTCATGATTTTTAAAATGTTGTTAGAGGCAAGATAGAATAAATATTTTTAAAATATGTCTCGTTGTCAAACTTCAAATTATGCCTAGAGCTCATGGCAAGACCAAATAAAGGACTGAAAAAACCCACTGTGTTAGAATTTAGAAACTCTTCTATAGCAGACATTTAATTTGGATAATGTATTCTTTAAAAAAAAAAGACTTCATTTTATGTAATCATTATCACTGCTAGCAGCTTAAACATTTTGAAGTCCCTCAAACTCAATGATTGCTTCACAGTATGTTATACATTTTTGTCATTTCTAGAAACTTCCAGTTAAGTGATGAAGACCACTGGATTTTCCAAGCTGTTTTGGATCAGTATCCTGGGGATCTCTGTGGCAGAAGGACTCTGTATCTGGACATGTTACAAAGATATTTTCCTCGCAAATCGAGGCATGATTTAGTGAGTGCTGGACCCCATATACTAACATGTTAAATTGTTTTAGTGGTTGATAATTATTAAGTGATACACACACACACACACACACACACACACACACACATATGCACACACACTTTAAATGGTGCTCTAAAATTATTTTTTTTCTGCACTCTAGAAAATAATAAGTCTGAAAAATGAAAGTCTGCCATTTTTCAAGTCTATATGGTACATAATAAGGTGTGACGGAGACCCCTCTAGCAACATTTACTCTTCTGTAGTTTACTTGCCTCAGAGAGCTTCAGCATGGCCCCCTGGGTTGCTCTGCTAGTGTTTGACCTCCAGGTGTCTGTATATTCACCTACCCACTTCAGATGTTCTGCCATCTCTGGGTCTTGCCTGTAAGTATGGTACGTGATCCACCATTCACATAGCCTGCAACACCTTAGCCCTTCTAGTCATGGGGAAGCCAACACTTGCCTTAGGAGCTGGTGCTTACGTACACCATCTCCTCCACAATTCCACTTGGTCCCCCTAGATGGGCTTGAAACACAAGCGCTCCAAATTCAGAACTCGGAGTCAAGGCTGAAATTTCCCTGAGCAGGGCCTGGGAAATGATGGTTTTATTCTTTAATGGACAAGACCACAAAGACAGGGAAACAAAAGTTACTATGTCACCAGTGAATTTCACAGTAACTCACTTTAAAGTGTATATATAAACAAATATGCAGAGACTCTTGACTTTTAAAAGAGCCATGCTATAAAATATGATCACACTCTTCATGTTTGTAATTGCTTTAAATCAAGCAAGTGACAATACTGACATGTGTATAGAACTTATGTCAGTCATGTGTGAACTCCTGTAACACGTAACAGTGGATGATAGAAGGATGATATCCTTATTCTTCGGATAAAGAAACTGATGCGAAGGTCACAAAGCTAGTATGACCAGTCTCTCCTGTCCTCTCCCTCCCACCCCCCCACCCAACAGTTACTTGTTTTAATTCTGACCTTTATTTCATAGCAAATGCCTGTTATATAAAAAACATGTTATATAAAAATTCATTCTAGATTAGACAAGTCTTGATTTATTAAATTAAATCTTAAAAAAATACCTATTGATTCTATTTGCTTCTGTGACCAGCTGTCATTTTTAACTACATAGATCTTTGTATTTACCTCCTATTAATGTGATAAAGATTTTTATATTTACTTCTTGCTTTGGGTTGATTGACATCATTTCTGCATGGCATATACTTCCTTTCTTAATGTTTGACAGGTTTGAAGCATATTCCTGGCTTTGGGGAATAAAAGCTAAGAAGTTGAGAGATTTTAGTATCTGGTATTTGGTTTAAGTGAAGCCATAGCCTGTTTCATTATGCACTTAATTAACCATACCTGGATTATCATTTTAGGTAGGACCAATCTTATTCTGCTTGCTAGCTTCTTTTCTCACACCACTTAGGGGTTAAATAATGTGTCAAATTCAGAGATGAGGCCTATACTGGCAAAATAAAGAATTATTTAGGTCACTGACTCTCCATTTCAGGAGACACACCTCTATATAAAAAGTATTTCAGGATTACTGACAGAGATTTTTCAAACTTCTCAGGCTATCTCCCTTTCTGTTCTTCTCCTCAAGACTCTGAGATCTCCTGGGGTTGGGATTGATTGCTAGCAGTTACTGTTGGTACCTGTGTTAGAATGTCATCCCCTCAGGAGTGAGGGATGGGAAGGGTTAATGTCATTGCAGTAGTTACTTCAAGTTAGATGTCCTGACATCTGATTGTTTCAGTAATCAAGGGCAAATAGAGTTTTCAGGATTATTGTAGCAATTTTTAATGTTCATTAGCACGTCTAATTGAAGAACTTGAAGTCATTGTTAATATGCCAAATCCGATTTAGAAATGGATTATTTTTGAAATTATATGTGAAGGAGATAATGTTTTCTGCTCATAGAATCATTGCCATACAGAGGCAGAAGTTGTTTTAGCCTGGCCTGACTCCATCCTATATAAGGACTTAAACACATTAAATGACTAGTCCTCAGTCACCAGTTAGCCTGGGGCTCAGAACCCTGGGACTGGTACCTGGTCCTGATGGCTGCATTTGCTATTACGATGTTTGTCCCCCATTTTACAAAATCATTGGTTATAATTCATTTTATTCATTTTGGTAACAATGACATAAAGTGTAGGCTCACTTTCATAGTAAGTTTTTACCAACTGTTGTCTTTTCAGGTCGAACATGAGAAATATTGTGACCAGTATCGCTTTGCTAAGGAGCAGCGAAGGATCCTGATATCAAGTTGGAATAAGAATAGGAGAGACTTTATACAGAAGGCTGTGCTGACACTCACCGAGGCCTGTGCAGCTCATGAAATGGAAAGCATGATGACTAAGGACAGGAAAAAGCAACAGGAAGTGTGTGCTGATCTGAAAGCCAAGGTGAGATGCTTTGCAGAATGTGTTTCAGTATTTGCCTGGGTGTTCTTTTAAGAGTCCACTTTTCCCTTTTGTTCAATTCCAACCTAAAGTCTCATTTCTCAAAAAAGCCTATTTTGAATAAAATTGTTAGATTGAACCATATGAAGTTGTAATTGTTTAGGTCAAAAATTGTTAACAATCAACAATTTCATATGGTTCAACCTGAAGTAACTATAGCAGGAAGTTAATATTGAAATTTTGATTGAGGGTACCCAATACCAACCACAAATGCTGAACCAGAGTGAGGTGCTAGATGAAGGTGCAGAGTATGATTATAAAGTAAATGTCTGATGCTGGTTCAGACCCATGGACGTCTCATTCACATTGAAGATGAATAAAAGGGGGTCAAGTTCACAAACAAACTTATTTACAAAACAGAAGCAGACTCAGACACAGAAAATAAACTTATGGTTACCGGGGGGAAAGGGGAGGGTGGAAAGATAAGTTGGGAGTTCAGGATTTGCAGATAATAACTACTATATATAAAATAGATAAACAACAAAGACCTACTGCATAGCATGGGGAGCTATATTTGATATCTTGTAAAAGCCTATAATGAAAAAGAATATGAAAAGTATATATATATATAACTGAATCCCTATGCTATACAGCAGAAATTAACACAGCATTGTAAACTGACTATACTACAATTTTTTAAAAATTTTTTTAAATTTTAAAAGAGTCAAGTTATGAAGAAGAGAGAGGATTTGTGAAGAAGTACATTGGGGAGAGCTTGATGGATTATGTGTGAGCCCTTAACAGAGTGAGAGGGGGAGCAGGTGGGGTTTTTTTCCTCAGAGGCTCAGCAAGGGGCTCCCTGTTGTTGGAAACTTGAGGACTGGTGTCTGACACTCACAGGGAAATACTGAGGGACTGACTGCCTCAGTGGCAGAACTGAAAATAAGAGTGGCTGCTGCATTGGGAGTAACTGCATCCCCCAGACAAGTCACAGGTGCCTGAGTCCTGAGGTCCACGTGGGTCTGGCCTCCCTGGGAGTGTTGGCAAGGCCATCAAAAAAATTGTATCAAGGTACAGCATACATACTGTAAAGTGCACAAATCTTGATTTATTGATAAATAACATGGTAGAAGGATGATGGTGCAATGAGAAATTTTATTCTCTTGATGGAAAAAAATAACCTGGTGGATGTCGCATTATAGCAATTAATAGTATGTAAAAACAAATGTCTCTTTTCCTGTAGTGAAAAATGCCTACAGGAAAAATGTCTGCTCTGCATTTTTTTTACACAAAAAGATATTTCTTTTGACACTGCATGAGCTAGGGACCCAAAAGCAATGGAACCCACATCAAGCCTGATCTACCACAGGCTACAGAACTAATGCATGTTTCTTCTCCATCTGTGGCTGATAAGAAACACTCAGGGGTCAGGGGCCATGATAAGTCCTTATGTACTCCAGTCTGTTTATACTTACTTTGTACATGTGATCATTAACCCTTGAGCTATGCTATAGGTGATTCTTTCTTTTTATTGTATTACATTGAGGTAAACATATATGCAGTAGAGTGCATAGAACGTAAGTGTGCTATTGAATGAAGTTTTACAAATGTATGCCACCCCGTAGAAATACCACCGAGATCAAGATACAGAACATCTCAGAACAGTCCCTCATGCCTCTTCTTAGTACATACCAGCCCTACCCATAACCACTATTCTGAATTCATCACCATAGATTAGTTTTGCTTATTCGTGAATTTCGTATGAATTGAATCACACAGTATATACTCCTTTGTACTTCTTTCACTCATCATATCTGTGAGTTTCACCCTTGTTGCGTGTTGCAATTATTTGTTCTTCTTGAAGCTGGGTAGTATTTCATTATATATATATATACCACAATTTATTTATATGTTCTCCTGTTGATAGAAATTTGACCTGCTTCCAGGCTTTTGCTGTTATGATAATGGTGCTATGAAAATTCTTGAACATTTCTTATAATGGACTTATGCATTTATATCTATTGGATAAATACTTGGGCATGGTATTGCTGGATCATAAGGCTCATGTATGTTTTGCTTTAGTAAATACTGCCAAATAGTTTTCCAAAGAGGTTATACAAATTTGCAACCAGTGTCAGTTACTTCACATCCTCACCAACACTGGTATTGCCAATCTTTAATTTCAGCTGA